TGGCAGCTCATGATTTCACGCGGCTGTGCAACATGGCTGTGCGCAGGCAAGAGCCAATTCTACGCGGCCGTGCGGAGTGGCCGTGTATCTGATTTTTACGCGGCCAGGGCCGTACTGGCTGTCCAAGGGAACACTTTGGCCGTACGCGATGTCATGGGGGTCTACACGGGCTAGGCTTAATGTCTCACGGTTGTGTGATGGTTGTGTGACTTCCTTCGACCAGCTAAGTGCAACGCCGCATTTTGGGAGTTACACGGGCAGGGTGGATTCTACGAGTGTGATCATGAATTTCTGGGTTTTAACCCAAATTCGGGTCTTTGAAGAGAGAATCAAACTTTCAGAGCAAAAACAGAGTCCTATAGGGAGAAAGTGCAAAGAACAAACCCTAGGATAGATTTTGGAGCTGGATTTCATCAATCAAACTTGGATTTCGACATTGGAGTGAAAATTATCATCCCAGAGCTTACCGTACACATCTTTATGAGTATGATTCCTCTGATTGTTGTTTTCTACTCTCTCTATGGAGTAGAACTTTCTCTCACTTTGGAATGAAAAACCCTAGTTTCATGTGTTAGGGATCATGATTGTAGTGACTTTGGGATTGGTATATTCATTGGTTTTAATCGATTGAAGTGTGTTTATTGAGTCAATTGAATCCTGATCAACTTCTTTTGATTATGCTTCAACATGAGATAGATAGAATCTGATTAGGTTGTAGAGCTTCTTCAATCGTATGAGTGAATTGATTGTACAAGAATCAATCAATTCACTGCTTCGTACTAAACTCTGTTTCCAGTAGTGGAGTTATGTGTTAATTGCCTTAGCATTCTATCCCGGTGAATAATAGTCGTCTTCCAATTAGTCTGTCTAAGAGGGCTTGGTCAGCTTAAAAGATTCCAAGCTACTGTCGGATCTTCCGCAGTTTAATCAACGGTAAATCAACTAAAGGAAATTACAACTTGAACCTAACTATGGAGCTAGGGGGACTCATTCCTGAGTGACTCTTCCCTTAAGAACTTTGAACAATTTACTACTTTCTTTCTGCTTTAGTTTAAACTCATTCTCACTAAACTCTCCCCGCTAGATAATAGATAATCACGGAGTAGGCAGTACATCTATATTCTGGGTTGACATTTATTACTTGATTCTACTATACTCCATTTCCTTTCTGTGATTACACTTGGTCGCAGTTTGGTGTTGTGACGTATCATGTCAAGTTTTTGGCGCCATTGCCGGGGACTTCTAGGTTATTGGAGAAACGTGAAACTCTGTTACTTTAGCATTTACTTTTCTGCATTTTCTCTCTTCCCCCTGTGTGCCTTCACAGGTCGTGTTTGCAGTCTGTGTGCAGGTAGTGCATGACTGGTAGCCAGTCAAGAGACTTGCTGCCATTGAATCAAGAGCTTGAAAGAACTTGTCATAATTTCAAGAGAGTTTTGAAAGCACGGCTGGCTGCGGAGGAGCGTCTAGCATAGTTGAACATCAATCAGGAGGAAAAAATGGATGACCCAAATGTTGATGCAACGATTGTCCCAGATGAGCACACCATGGGATACTACTGGACCGCCAGGGCCGCAGACATGAGGTCGCCCATCCAACACCCTCAAGTTGCGGCCAAAAACTTTGAGGTGAGCACCTCAGTTATCACCATGCTGAAAGGTTCGGTGGTATTCCGTGGGAAGGTAGGCGAGTGTCCGCGCTCGCACTTGAGACAATTTCACGAGCTGATCGATGGAATCAAGATTAATAGGGTCCCTGCAGACGCCATCCAGCTGAGGTACTTCCCATTTACTCTAGAGGGACAGGCAAATGAGTGGCTGGACATGCGGCCTCCGGGATCGATCACTACATTTGCCAGCCTGGCCGACAAGTTCCTAACCCACTATCATCCTCCATCTAAGACAACGGACCTACAGAAGGAGATCACTCATTTTGCACAGGAAGAAGATGAGACCATTCGGGACGCGTGTGAAAGGTACACTAGTCTTTTCCTTAAGTGTCCCAATCATGGTTTCAACGACGCTTTCAGGGTGGGCACCTTCTACCGGGCTCTCTTCCCTGAAGATAAGCAGGTGATCGAATCGGTATGTGGCGGGAACATGCTGACCAAGATGCCACCGCAGTTGAATCAGCTCTTTGAGGAGATGGCAGAGTAGGGATATGATTGGGGGACAACTAGGAAATCGAGGCGAGCACCAGGTCGGGGTGTGCATCTCGTGGACAACTAGTCATATGAGTTGGTGCAGGTTGTCTCTAAACTGGTTTCAGCGATTGATCGGAACGAGATGGTTCCAGGTATAGGGCAGCATCAGGCGATGTATTGCCAGTGGTGTGAGAGCACCCGTCACAGGGTGGAGGACTGCCAAGCCATGCGAGAGTCCAGCACACCGGAGGAGCAACTCAATTTCATTAATAATGCTCGGCGCAATGACCCCTACAGTAACAAATACAACGAGGGGTAGCACCAGCATCCAAATTTCTCCTAGAGTGGAAATAACAATATCAAGCCACCTGGCTTCCAGGCTCCTGTACATGGTTTTCAAAACAAGAAACAACCATACCAGCCCCGCCCAGGCCAGATGAAGCAGTAATCATTTTATCAGCCCAGACAGGGGCAAACTTTTCTACAGCCCCCACATCAGCAGTACCAGCAGCTTGGTGCATCTCCATCAGTCCTAGCATTAGGCGATCCCGTGTCAGGATTGAGGGACCTAGTAACCACATTGGCCAACACTAGTACCCAGAAGTTCAGTAAACTGGAGTAATTCATGGAAGTGGCTGTGGGCAAATTCATGGAGATTGAAACTAGCTAGAGGAACCATCAGGCACTCCTGCAGTATATGGACACCAAAATCGGGCACCTGGCATATGCTCTTGCTTCCAGACCAGCTGTCACACTTGCTGGCCAACCCCTACCGAATCCCAGATTTTATGAGGGGTTACACACCACCATGCGGAGAAGTGAGACTGTGACTGAGGATGCGCCGCCGAAGATGATAAGCTCCACCCCACGAGCTTCTAATCCGAACTTGCAATTCCTCAAGTACTTCAGATTGTTGATTGATAACGAAGGAACAAGGAAAGAACAGGGTAAAACGGATGTGGGAGGTGCAACTTCAACACCGAATTCCTAGGAAGAGGCTCGATCCAACGAAGGTGCAACTCGTCCACGATTGATGTGGTGAATCAACCGATACTGAGCTCGCTCGTTGATGGACTTGAATCCTTCAGCTCCCACAAAATTCTGATGGAGGATGAGGTTAAGCCTGTCAGACAGCCACATCGGAGGTTACTCCGAACTTGGAGGCCATGGTCCTGGCCGAAATCGTGAAGCTGATGGATGTCGGGATCATCCTTGCTATATCATACAGCAAGTGGCCCAATCTCACTCAAGAAGATGTCATCTTAGAGCTCCAGCAGGCGTCACCACTAGGGGTGGGGGATTGCCGCCTCAATGGCGTCACGGCAGAGGAACTTCTCGAAGTAGGCCAGATTGAGGCAGTAGTCTCCCCCAATCAGCCCCTCCAACATCCTAGCGAACGTCCCGTTATAAGCCTCGGTGTAGCGGAGGCCTTGCAGGAAGGGGTTGTCCAAGTTGACCATTTCCCTGCAAAAACAAACAACCAACACCTCGAAACCCGTTAGTACTAATATAATTGCAGGAAAGAAAGCCAGAGGCAATATTCCCCCCACACTTAAGCGCAATCCAGAATATACTGCAGAACGAAAGTCTACAACAACGGGGCACTATACCAATAACTAAAGATTCACAAAGGCAGTGCAAACCGGACAATCACAGGCCAAATTTCTCCTGCATAAAACATCTAATCATGCAAAATCGGTTCAATTCTCCCTACACTCTATAATTCGATTCTCCATAAACACAAAATCTGGAAAAAAAGACCAACTTAGAGACACAAGGAAGAGAGTAGTGAGGGAGAGGACGGCAGAATGCCGACAGAAGGGTGAACTCGGAAGACGTCACAGGAGGCAATTTTCGACGAGGATGCAGGGCGGAAGACGAGGGAACGGAGGGCGGCGGGTGGTGCGCATTGCGGCGGGTGGTGCGCATTGCCAAGACAAGTTCACCGCCACAAACGGCGCTTCGAAGGTCATGAAGTCGTCGGAAGGATGCAAAAACGTGACGGCGGCGTTGGGTTCCGACGAGGGTTGGTGGAGTTTTCTGGCGAGGAGTTTACGGGGCGTAACTCTCCTTTTATAGACGAAGCCGAAGTTACGGCTGCATCAGGAGAGTTACGACCGTAACTCTTGTCGTAACTCGCCTGACTCAAGTGAGTCAGAGGTTATGGGGTCATTGGTTGAGTTATGGTCTGTAACTCGGACCGTAACTCGTCGGTGAGAAGTTACAGGCCAGTCTCAAAGTTATGGTCACAACCGTAACATCGAAACTCAGCCCGTAACTTTGGAAAAATTTCCCAAACGTTTCAGGCGGCAATTAAAAGTTATGGGCAGTAAGGAAAAGTTACGGTTGCGACCGTAACTTTCATCCCAAGCCGTAACTCCTTAGAATGATCTTCCTTTTTCGCCAAACACGCCACAAATCACATCAAACGTCCAGAAACACCCCTCAAACCCTTGAACAGGAGAGTAACACAAGGGTTGCTAGGCTCTTCCGGTGTGCATGTGTTGCTTATGTGTGGAGAGAACAATGCAACATACAACATAACGTGCTTCCCCGGGATGCTACTGCTATTGGTAGATTGATTTTGTTCGATTTGATGCATCTCAGTTGTGCAAATGTTAGTCTGCATTCTGATCTCAGTACGTTGGGGCTTCTTCCTTAATATGGTAACTATGTTGAAGGAGGTAGTGGGGGTTTGGGGTTCTTTGTTATTTGCAAGGCTGCTCAAAATGAGCTTTTACTTTTCGTTGTATTAGTTCCTATATGTGTATTGCATATAGTTTTGGGAAATAAAAGTAATGGATTCAACAGAAAAAATCTTCAATTTCAAGCATCTATGCAAGGCTGCTGGTCCTTATGAAAAACCAACCTTCCTGGCATCCGTGGATTCATCTGCCAACGGAATCAAAACAGCAAGCTGCAAGCAGTTCATAAAGTGACGAGCAAACGCATACGCATGGATTTAATAGAGAAGAAATGCTGCCAAGTCCCTGCTACACTTACAGTACACAAGGAAAAAGAGATGCTGACGTGCCACATGCCAAGTGCCAACCGTATAAATAAGGCTCAGCAACAGTATGATAAGAGCAAAAGAAAATCGAATGGTACAGCAGATGGCCATACTTACTAACATGTGACACAGCTTGATATAAAATTGAGCAACTGAAAGTCGGAATGCATTCACTTCTAACAAACGCTATCCGCAGGCAACGAAGTTTGCCCAACACAAAGTTCCTCTTTTTGGCCACAAACTGCACCAGTAGAGTAGTTCATCTTCTTTAAGAGCCAGGGAGGCTCCCTTAATCCTCTTGATTCAACGATATAATTTAAGTCCAGCCAGCCACATCAGCAGGTAAAAAGTTGGTCTTTCTACTTGTAGAATTCGAAGTCTGTGTCGGGCTTCTTCACATTGGAACGGTATCCCTTTTCAAAGTCCTTGGGGAGTATCACGTATCTGTTCTTACGTACAGCGTGCATCCCTGCTTCTTGGCAGATGGCTGCAATCTGTGGCTCATTGTCAAAGAAGCAAGTGGTCAGAATCAGCAAACACCCAGAACGCATAATTCCAAATAAAGAAAGAGGACAAGCCAACAAATCCAGGATAACTGGAATTATGAATGAGTCGCAAAAACATGAAAACAAACTGTTGCCACAACCTTAATAGAGAAATAAGTTCAAAGCACTTGGAATGAGAACATTTATATCAAAGTAACAAGCTAACCAACCTCAGCAGCACTAATTTTATCTGGCCTTGACACATAATCCTCCAAATCCACCTCGTCACCAAGATTCATCTTAGAAGTGCAGACCTGTACAATAATCATCCAAAATGCATCAGTGCACAATTGAGGTATATAATGATGATAGGAGAGTTAAGTTAATCAGTCCCAAAAGCATAAGAAAGACCGCAATAGTCATCAGAACAGCAGAGGTTATACCTGGAAGACGAGCCTCTTCTGTCTTCTATCAGGCAAAGGAAACTCAATTTTCCTGTCCAACCTTCCAGGACGAAGGAGTGCAGGGTCCAGAGTATCAGCACGATTAGTTGCCATTATAACTTTGACATTAACAGTCTGGTCGAAGCCATCCATCTGTAGGCAATTATTGAAGCAGCAGTCAGAAAGAATATCCAGAAAAGTGTGCCAAAAACAACATTCAAGAGTGCCAAGAAAATACTATCTCCATTAACACCAAGTTCTTAGCTGATACCTGATTCAGGAGCTCCATCAGAATACGCTGAACTTCCCTATCAGCTCCTGTTTGGGCATCAAACCTAGCCGTGGCAATAGCATCCACCTCATCAATGAAAATAATTGCAGGCGCATTCTCTTTGGCAAGACGAAAGACATCACGAACCATACGTGGGCCCTGGGTTTAAAAGAACCAAGAGATTGATAATCAAGACCACAATAAACTTATTGTCACAAGGTACTAGTAAGACTCCACCAGTTTCCTTTTAGGGCATACCTCTCCCAAATACTTCTGGACAAACTCAGAGCCAACAACTCTAATGAAAGCTGCTGTAGTATGATTTGCAACAGCCTTAGCGAGCATAGTTTTCCCAGTACCAGGGGGACCATAGAGCAGCACACCTCGGGGTGGGTCTATACCAATTTGCTTGTACAACTCGTGATGAGTCAGTGGCAACTCCACAGCCTCACGAATTTCCTGCTTTTGGATGTCACATCCTCCAATATCCTGCCAAATTTATGTGGAAAAATTCAGACTTTCAAAGAAGGCACCAAAAACAACGAAACTGATGAGAGATTTTAATTTTACCAGTGTTTCAACTGAATCACAATCTAAGATGCATGATATCTAAACAGTCGTGAATTAAAGCTGCCTAGTCAGAAAAATCCATCTTGCCACTATATAATTAGTCATATGGAGAAAAATTTAGTGGTTGAAACTATATGAACTTTCTTGACTGACTCGTAGCCTTCTGAATCGAAAAGCAACCTTCGACGCACCACAAATCTCTCTTCCAAGTTCGACTGGAAGTCCAGAACTTTGAACCATAATTTGTAGGGCAAAGGAGCAATCTTTACAACTATTTGAAACCATTCACTCTAAAATAGCTATTGAGAAATCCCTAGCTTCAGCCCCCCAAAGTTGAAAACTTCATCACACTCAGAGCGCTATTTCAAAGCGAAACCCTAAAATTCAACATCCCCAGAAACCCAAGACTCAGAAAACCACAAAGCTACCGAATTGAACTTACATTATAAGTAACATCGGGCTTCTCCGACTGGCTGAGCAGCGAGATGCTCGAATCGGCCTCAGGAGGCAGCACATCGACAAGAGCATTCGAATGGCGGTGCAAAGCTACGGAAGCCGAGGGCTTCAACAGTTCCCGATTAATCGTGCTCAAAATCCTCACATAGTAGTTCGAGCCAGTGGTCGACCCAACAATACCGTTGTTGGTGTCGACCATCTCCATGAACTGCCCGATAACCAACGGCACCGACTGGATCCGCTTGACCTCTTCCTGGGACCGGAGGAGCTCGCGCTTGAGATTCTTCTGTTCATCTTTAACATACTCCTCCTTGATTTCGATAAACTCATGTTGACGCTGCAGAGACTTCAGCTTGGCGTAGAGGTCCTCCTCCTCGACGGATTGGAGGACGGACGACGGCGACGGCGACGGCTCTGATAACCGCTTCAGGTCCAATACCATTGTAGCTGCAGAAGCCATTACGAAGGAGAAACTGAATTCACTCGGAATCGTAGATCAGCGATTTCTGGGGCCGTTCAAAATTTTCCTACGGCGAGGAGTGGAGTCGAGAAATGGGGAAGTATATGGAGATGGAGTGGTGGTTTGGATTAAAGAGCACGAAACGAAACAGAAAGACGATCCATTCCAGAGGGTTTGTTCTTTTTTATAAGAGAAAGATTCGGCTCGGGTTCTTATTCCTTTTCAGTTTTGGATTGGTTAATATGTTTTATCGACCCAAGATGAGAGCTAGGGATGGCAATGGGTCGGTTGGGTCGGGTTGGGTCGGGTTTTGCCAAACTCAAACCCAAACTCATGGGTTTATCTTTGGAAAAAACCGAGGGTAAAACCCATTGGGTTTGAAAAACTCAAACCCAACCCAACCCGTTGGGTATCCGCGGGTTCATAGGTACCCACGGGTTTTGTCGTAAAAAATTTACAATTACAAGTACTTATCAAATTAAAGTCAAATATCAATATCTCAATACAAATTATCCATATATAAAACACCATTCTAGAAAATTCAAGCAAATCACAAATTAACTATACAAATTGTGTAACACCAATATAGAAAACTCAAGAAAATTGAAGCAGATCACAAATTATCCATAAATAACATGTTTAATTGAAAGCTTCTTCCTGTCAATTAAGTTTCTTTACTCTCCACTCCATAACATCAACTTCATTCTACACAATTAAAAAAAAAAAATTAGACATGTCTCCACAAACATAAATAAGATTAGTTGTTTAGAATATTAAATATTCCGAAAAATTAATTATATGGATGGGCGGGTACCCATGGGCCGGGTTTACCTAAACCCAACCCAACCCGTTGAATAGTGAACAGGTTTAAACCCAAACCCGGCCCAAAACCCGTCAACACGGATTTTACCCGCGTTGACCGGGTTGGGTCGAGTGGATACCCGTGGATTCGGGTTTTGTTGCCATCCCTAACGAGAGCCATAACCTTTTGCTAGTTGCATGGCCATTGGAAAGACCAAGAAAACAATAATATTCTATTTGTTAGAGCGGAAAACGAATGAAAGAAAATAATAATTAAAAAAAGTAATTTGCACAAACGGCCGATCAGTGTTCACCTAGACTGCTTTTACTGTTTGTCTAGACACATTTTACTATTTATTGGTCTCCTATTGGTTGTTGCCTTGGGGTGGGCCAACCTTAATTTGTTTAGTGTTGTGGATTGTTTTTGTCCGTTCTGTGCCACCGTTTCACAACTCATTTGCAAAGACTTTTTAGTCCCTCCTGTTGGCTATGGAACCCGCGCCGGCATCAAGTCATTCGAGATTTTATCTAACCTCTTTCCGATTGTTGTTTAGACAGACTGCATTGACTACTCAGGGCAGCCTCTGGTTGGATCTAGATTCCTTGAGATATATATGTATATGCTCGCTTGCAGAGTTGAGGGTGTTCTTGATGGGAGATTTGGAAGAGACTTAGGGAACTGGACTTGCTCAGAGAAGCAGGGGGTGGAGGTTTCTCAAGAAAGTAGAGACGACGCAGTGATATTTGTGGTCCACTTATTTCACCGAACTCACTCTACCCTCTCTTATTAGTTCTCGCTTGGACCGTCTTCAACAACGAGAACCTCTTTCTCTCCCTCTCTTCTGTCAAATCGATGATGCAACCAGTCACCGGGGAACTAACGTAGACTCTCGGCGACTGTGATTATCACAAGAATCTCTTCTCTCAGCTCCGCCGGTGCAATCAAAGAACCGCTTAGGATCAACAACGACGAGTTATAGCAAGAATAACGACACATGCAGGTAATATCTTTATGTTTTTTGGTCTGAGCATTCTCCCGTTTGAGTTTACCTAAGGAAATTGTGGTCTTGCAGATAGGGATGGCAATGGGTCGGGTTGGGTCGGGTTTTGCCAAACCCAAATCCAAACTCATGGGTTTATCCGTGAAAAAACCAGGGGTAAAACCCACTGGGTTTGAAAAACTCAAACCCAACTCAACCCGCTGGGTATCCGCGGGTTCATGGGTACCCACAAGTTTTTGTCGTAAAAACTTTACAATAACAAGTTCCTATCAAAATTAAAGTCAAATATCAATCTCTCAATACAAATTATCCATATATAAAACACCATTCTAGAAAATTCAAGCAAATCACAAATTAACTATACAAATTGTTCAACACCAATCTAGAAAACTCAAGAAAATTGAAACAAATCATAAATTATCCATAAATAACATGATTAATTGAAAGCTTCTTCCTTTCAATTAAGTTTCTTCACTCTCCACTCGATAACATCAACTTCATTCTACACAACTAGAAAGAAAAAATTAGACATGTCTCCACAAACATAAATAAGATTAGTTGTTTAGAATATTAAATATATCGAGAAAATTAATTATATGGGTGTGGGCGGGTACCCATGGGTCGGGTTTACCTAAACCCAAACCCAACCCAACCAGGTGAATAGTGAACGGGTTTAAACCCAAACCCGTCTCAAAACCCGTTAACACGGATTTTATCCACGTTGACCGGGTTGGGTCGGATGGGTACCCGTGGGTTCGGGTTTTGTTGCCATCCCTACTTGCAGAGGATTGACGAGATGGAGATTTCCGAGATCCCTCCGGTGGCATTCCTTTTCTCGCCGAAAAAAGCATATGCCAATTTACAAATTTCCATGTTTCCTGAAACTTTTGTGTTATAGGTCGTGTTCTCTCTCTGTCTTGCTCTATGCTCTTTTTATTTTGCTCTTCTGCGTTGTTGATAGGGCTTGCCTCATTATCTCTCTCTCTCTCTCTCTCTAACGATATGTTTGATCTCTGTTGAAGGAGATAACGACAACGTCTTCACTGTCATAAAGACGACCATCAATTTCTTGGAAAAAGCCACCTGGCTAGAGTGAGCCATCGTCGAAGTCGGTTGATATTTCACTTTCTATCTTTTCTTCTTCCTTCAGATGAACCAGATCTGCACCTGCTACTATGATTTCAGGTGGTTGTTATCTCTGTACCTTCCTCTCTATTCATTTTCCCCACTTTGCTCTTATATGGGGTTTCCTATATCTTCCTTCCTCATAAGGTTTTGTTTGGTGACTTATCTGGAGGAGATTCGCCAGCGAGTTTGCTTTCGACGGAATTTGGGGTTTATCAAATTTGATCAAGGTACTGGTAGTCATTAAGCTTGGTACTTTTCGATGTGTTTTGTTCTGTTTTTTCAATCGATAGTTGGTGTTTCAAAGGTGTTGGTAGTCATAAAGCTTAGTACTTTTGTAATCTGAGATTCAGTTGGTGGAGACCAAGGGATTGTGAAAGAAAACACCCACAATTTCCCTGTGTCCTTTTTTTCTTCTCAAGGGAGGTTACTTTTAGATTCTCAAGTTCACTGAAACTTTTGGGTTATAGGTGATTATCCCTCTTCTCAGTCTGTTTGCCAATGTTAATGTTTAGTGCGGGCTGGAAGATGCTGTCGTAGAATTCCTGTTGGGATTTGGTTCTCAACCTGACCTCCCTGTATGTTTCGGTGTGTTTATGTTTGTTGACAACCCTGGCTTACACTTTTTTTTTTTTTTGACAAAAGATAATCATATATTGATTCAACAAAGAAAGTTACACCCTGGAGAGCAGCCAGGTCTGAAAGTCAAAGAAACGACTCATGGTAGGGTACAACGACAGGGCTTTCCTAGCCACCAAATGGGCTACCCTATTACTACGCCGACCTATGAATCGAATACTAAACCCCGGATAGATGCGAAAATACTGCACTAGCTCGGCCAAAACAGCACCCATCCGACTATCACTATAGTCCCCACTATTGATCTTCTCGATGATAACTTTGGCATCCCCCTCAAACATCATGTCTGTGCAACCAATTCCAACACACCATTCAACCGCTTCCCTGAGCGCGAGGAGTTCCACCAGCTGAGGGTTATCGATTCCCGGGAACTGAAATCCCCTGGCCCCAGCAACCCCCCCATCCGGACGGAACAACACCACCCCTCCCGCGGAGTGGGACCCACACCTTGTTGCTCCGTCCCATCTGCAGACCATACGAGGAAGGTCAACCGAGGGCTGATGGTCAGTAACAATTAAAGTCGGCTGAACCACCGGATCTTTAGGCAATCGTATCCATTCCTCATATTGCTGGACAAACTGACGCATTAGCACTGAAACTCCAAATTGTTTACCCTCGAACACCACCCAGTTGCGCGACCGCCAAATCCTCCAGAGAATGGCCACCATCGCCATAAACACCGAGGGTTGTTTAATCAGAGCCATGAGCTGCTTAAGAAACAGTGGAAAGGTCTGGCGTGGCAACCCCTCCCCCAGGTAGGCCAATCCTGAATCATCCCAAAGAGCCCGTGCAACCGGACAGTAAAGGAATAGATGCTCCAGGGTTTCAGGGCTCTCCCAGCAAACCGGGTAACGGGGATGCACCTGAACCCCACGTTCAATGAGAGCCTCCGTAGTAGGGAGGACCCGAGAAAGGATCTGCCAGACAAACACTTTCAGTTTTGGGGGGATATCTGCCCCCCAGAGACGAATCCAGCTATCTTTATCCATCCAGCTCACAGTTGGCTTCCATCCACTCCTCCTCTTATCAATTGTGACAGCAAGGTGATAAGCTGATTTGACCGTGAACACCCCATCTACTGTACCATGCCAGATAAGCTTATCCTCAATATTCCGCCGTGGTAGGGGAACTGCTTTAATGGCTCTACACGTAGGGGGATCAAACCATTGGCTAAGTTTACTATCACACCAGCGCCCTTCCCCAGGCCTAATAAGTTCCGCTACCTTGGGATCCCCCCCCCTCCGATAACACCACCGGATTAACCTGGATGGGGTCCAACTGATATTGAGGGATCCAACTGGAATTTAAAATTGAGGCTGACTGACCATTCCCAATTTGCCATCGCAGACCCCTTTCTAGCAACTGGCGTCCAAAGAGGATGCTCTGCCATCCCCAAGAGGGGCGCGAGCGGGCCGTAGCAGTAAGGAAGGTCCCAGTCGGGAAGTATTTTCCTTTGTAGACCTGGGCAAGAAGGGATTGCGGATCAGTCATGATCTGCCAACCAATTTTAGCTAGCAAAGCCTGGTTGAATTGCTCAAATCGGCGAAACCCCAAACCACCTTCATGTTTACTCCTGCACATATTTCGCCAGGAAACCCATCGAATCTTTAGATGATCCTCCGTCACCCCCCACCAAAATCGTGCTACATGTTTATCCAAGATACGACATAAAGTTACCGGCAGTTTAAAGCAGGACATCACATGCAAGGGCAAGGCCAAGGCAATTGACTTGATCAAAGTTTCCTTTGCTGCCCACGATAAAGTCCGCTGCTTCCAGCCCTGCAGGCGATCTAGAAGCTTTTCCTCCAAATAACGGAAAGTAGCCATTTTGGATCGGGCAAACAAGGTGGGCAGTGATAAGGAATCTTCTTAGTTTAAATTCTTTCTCATTTAATTTATGTAATTAGTGGAGTAGTGGCTAGGTAGTTACCCTCTTTGTAGCATCGTGGGTTTATGTTTCTGTTAAGGAGATTGGTATTTAACCCATTCTCCTAATCAATACAAATCACCACATTCAAAGCAATCACATGGTATCAGAGCAAAAGGCTCCGATTTCCTTAACGATCCCTTAAACCTCTTCTCCTAAAAATTTGGCCCCAATCTTCTTCTCCCCTATCTCGACCAAATCTTCTTCCTGCTTCCTTCTCCTGCTTCTTTCTTCTTTTCCTCGCTGCACCTGCATTCCTTCTTCCATATTCCTCTGCAGTCATGTCAGGTGAAACAGTCATCAATCTTGACGAGGCGAACACCATCATCACGCTGAACCCTGCATCTCAGCTACCCACGAAACTAACCGGCGACAATTTCCCGACCTGGAGAGCCCAGCTTCTCACTCTTCTACGCGGTCTAGACCTTCTCAAGTTCTTGGATGGCACTCATCCAGAACCGGCCGCCGATGCTCCTATTGTTGATCGTCGTCGCTGGTACAGGCAAGACCAGCTGCTGCTCCATTCAATCCTCGCGTCCATGTCACCAGGTGTTGCTCCCTATGTCTCTGCAGCGCCCACATCTCGTCAAGCTTGGACAATTCTGGAACGAATGTTCGCCAATCAATCCCGCCAACGCGTTATCAATCTGAAAGAGAAGCTTGGCAAAGAACTCCAAGGCAATTGTCCAGTTGCCGTTTATCTTCAAGCCCAACGCACAACAGCCGCTGAACTCGCGCTCATCAATGCTCCAGTTTCTGATGAGGACCTCATTCTTCACATTCTTCGTGGCCTTCGAGAGGAGTATGGCCATCTCTCTGCCGCCATTCGCGTCCGTGACACTCCCATTGCCATCGAAGACCTTCACGATCGCCTTGTTGATTTTGAAGCCGATCTGGCCGCTGTTCGCATCCCCAATCTAGCTCCCACCACAGCTTTTTCTTCTGCTCGCGGTCGTGGTCCAGCTCGGCCATCTAGCGGCTCTCGTCGCCCTGTTCCCCATAACTCGTTTTCAGGTGGTGATTATTATTCCTCACGAGAGGACAGCCCTCGCCAGCAACGCAGCTCCTATCCCTCTCGTTCACTGCCCAATTATGCACCGGGATCCGCTGCTCCATCCCTCCTTGGCCGGCCTCGCCTGCAATGCCAATTCTGTGATCGCCCTGGCCACTCTGCGAAGGAGTGCTATCGTATCAAGGGGCGTCCTCAAGCTCATCACACCACCGCTGGCTCGTCCTCCTCTGCCGGCTGGCTAGTTGACTCTGCTGCCACCAATCACATGACACCAGACCTCGGTAATCTCTCCCTATACACAGATTATAATGGTCCAGATGAAGTGCTTATCGGCGATGGTTCAGGTCTGGTTATTTCTCATATTGGCAATTCTCAATTGTCCTCTTCTTTAACGCGCTTGAATCTTCATAATGTCTTACATGTGCCTGCCATTAAGCGTCGTCTACTGTCTGTTGCCCAACTGTGCAAGTCTAATCCGGTTTCTGTGGCATTCTTTGCTGATTTTTTTTTTTTGTGAAGGATCTAGCCACGGGGGCGCATCTGCTACGAGGCCCGAATAGCGGTGATGTCTATGAGCTGCCTGCCGATTCCTCCCCAGTTCGTTTTGCCTTATCCGCTGCCACCCGGCTCCCTTCTACGATCTGGCACAACCGGCTGGGGCATCCTCATTCCAAGCTTCTCTCTCGAGTGCTGCGTAATCAGTCCCTTCCCGTCACTACTGCTTCTTGTTCTTCCTTATGTGACTCATGTTCTCTCCATAAAAGTCATAAACTACCATTCTCTGTTTCTAGTCTCACCAGTTCTCGTCCGTTTGATTTGTTATATATGGATGTTTGGGGGCCCTCCCCTGTTCTTTCTCATGACAATTTCTCATATTATTTGGTAATTGTTGATCATTTTTCTCGCTATACATGGCTTTATCCTCTTCGCCGTAAATCTGATGTTCATCATATTTTTACCACTTACAAATCCATGATTGAGAATTACTTTCATACATCCATTCGGCGAGTATACAGTGATGGCGGTGGTGAATTTCAGAAGCTCTGCTCTTTCTTTCAGTCTCATGGCATAACTCATCTCTTAACCCCACCTCATACACCACAACATAATGGCCTTGCCGAACGCAAGCATAGGCACATAGTCGAGACTGGTCTTGCTCTTCTTCATACCGCCAACCTCCCTCTTCGTTTCTGGTCCCATGCTTTTCTCACAGCCACGTATCTTATCAACCGCCTACCTTCCACTTCTCTACATGGTACATGTCCCTTCTATGCCCTGTTCAATGAAAAACCGAATTATCTTAAACTCCGTGTGTTTGGCTGCTTATGCTACCCTTGGCTAAGACCTTACTCCACCCACAAATTGGATCCTCGCTCCCGCCGCTGCATTTTTCTTGGGTATTCTCTAAACCAAAGTGCTTATCATTGTTATGATCCTCTTTCCCACCGCATTTATACCTCCCGCCACGTCCAGTTCGATGAAACTATGTTTCCTGGGATTCCCTCCTTCTCTGATCCTTCATTTGATCCGCCCTCTTGGGTTACAGTCACTACTCCTCCTGTCACCATTTTTTCTATTTCTCCTTCACCTTCCTCCTCTCCACCCACGCCTCACTCTCCTATCCCGTCTACTCCGGCTGCTCGACATCACTGCCCCACCATTTCGACTGCGCCCTCCGATGCTAGTTCTTCCCAGCAGAATCTTCCTCCTCCGCCGCCGGCCAAACAGGCGCATCGTCCAGTTACTCGTAGTCAGCGGGGCATTTTTCGCCCTAAGCGGTTATTTGTTTCACAGGCTGCTCAGGCCGAGGTCGAGCCCACTTCAGTCAAGCAGGCCATTGCTGATCCGCGATGGAATGCGGCCATGCGTGCCGAAATCCGCGCCTTTTTATCTAATCACTCGTGGACGCTTGTTCCTCGTCCACTTGGTTTGAACATTGTTGGCTGCAGGTGGGTCTTTCGCATTAAACGCCGGCCCGATGGCTCCATTGAGCGGTTTAAGGCCCGGTTGGTGGCCAAAGGGTTCTCTCAACGTCCGGGTATTGACTATCATGATACATATAGTCCCGTTCTTAAACCAGTCACCATTCGCACAGTATTCTCTATTGCTCTGTCGCACCAATGGCCTATTCTGCAGTTCGACGTCAACAATGCCTTTCTCCAAGGCTCTCTGCAAGAAACAGTATATATGCAGCAACCCCCTGGGTTTCGTGATCCGGATCATCCCCATCATGTTTGCCGTTTATCTCGGCCTATCTATGGCCTCCGACAGGCTCCACGCTCTTGGTATCTATCCCTCTCTGGCTTCCTTGAGGAAGAGGGCTTTGTCAAGTCAAAATCGGATGCTTCATTGTTTATTTATCACAAGGGTTCGGTCACTCTCTATTTTCTGGTCTACGTGGATGATCTACTTCTTACAGGCAATGATATGTCGTCTCTTCAACAGTTCCAGGCTCGTCTTGCGGCGCGATTTTCTCTCAAGACCCTCGGCTCTGTGAACTACTTCCTTGGTATCCAGGTTCTCCCAACTTCGTCCGGATATCTGCTCTCCCAGCAAAAATATGTGCATGATGTCCTTGAACGGTTTGGCATGCTGGATTGTCATCCAGCCCCGACTCCCTTGTCCTCTGCCGCCAAGTTGCTTCTCGACGACGGCACTCCTCCGGCTGATCTCACCTTGTACAAGCAGGCTGTTGGGTCCCTGCAATATTTGCTCTGCACCCGTCCGGATATAGCACTCGCTGTCAACAAACTCTCTCAGTTTATGCATGCCCCTACCCAGCTTCATTGGCAGCATGTCAAGCGTTTGTTTCTTTATTTGAAGGGCACCTCTCATCTTGGTCTTCGCCTTGAATCCGCCTCCACTCCATCCCTCGTCGCCTTCGCCGACTCCGATTGGGCCGGCGATCCCAATGATCGCACTTCCACGATGGCCTTCCTTGTCTACTATGGCAATAATCTCATCTCCTGGAAATCAAAGAAACAACGTTCTGTTGCTCGATCCAGCACCGAGGCGGAATATCGAGCTCTCGCCCACGTCACCTCTGAACTACTCTGGATTCAGAACCTACTGCGTGAGCTTCATCAACCAGCTCCCACTGTTCCGACCATCTACTGTGATAATCTTGGCGCCGTGAACTTCTCTGCCAATCCCATCCATCACTCGCGCATGAAGCACCTCGCGCTTGATTATTTGTTCGTCCGGGATCTTGTGCAGTCTCAGCAACTTCGCGTTCAGCATGTTCCCACGGCATATCAACTGGCCGACTCCTTGACGAAGCCGCTTCCCATCACTCGCTTCCAGCTTCTCCGCTCCAAGATTGGTGTCGTCCCGGCCACCATCTTGCGGGGGCGTGATAAGGAATCTTCTTAGTTTAAATTCTTTCTCATTTAATTTATGTAATTAGTGGAGTAGTGGCTAGGTAGTTACCCTCTTTGTAGCATCGTGGGTTTATGTTTCTGTTAAGGAGATTGGTATTTAACCCATTCTCCTAATCAATACAAATCACCACATTCAAAGCAATCACAGGCAGCCCTAAATACTTATCATGGACAACCCTGGCTTACACTGCACTCCGTTATTTTTGTTGTTTGAATTACGCCAAGGAACAAGCCAATAAGGAGTCCTCTCTTTTCCCTGTTCTTACCTACATTTTTGTGATGGTTTTAGGCGCCCTTACAGTGGTAACAAGTTCCAGCTTAAGGGTTCTCTACAAACGAGTTTCAAAGTGGCCAGAGTAGGAGCCCAGCGAAAAAACAATAACAACATGGGGATTGCTGTTTAGCACCTGCGATCTACTGCTGGGAAGAAATGATTACTATTTCACATATCCAAGAATTACATCGCTTGATCGTCATAATTCTTTATTATCACTTTTCCTTGAAGAATGCAACTTCCCTCCTTAAATTTTAACATCATCAATAATATTTGATCGTTTTCTCTCTATTTTACAGGGAAAATTTATTTTCTGAAGTGAGGTATACAACAAACATGGCCAGCCTCTGTTCCTTTTATGATCTGCAGATGGTTATGCCTGCTGCAGGTTTTGTAGTGGTTTACCATGTGCCGATATTGTTCATTGGGGGGTAAACATAGGAGCTTTTGTTAATGTTGCCAAGTCGTTTGTGAATATGGATGGTGATTCAAACTTTCCTAAGATTAATTGTGGAGTAAGATTTGGGAATGTAGTTACAATAGTCAATTCATTGATTCAACATTAGTTGGCAGATGGCGTGAAGGTTGAATGAGCCTATAGTTCATGGGTTTGATTAAGTTCTTTAGTTTATCTATGATTTAGTGTATGGACCTCCATTACATTGATAGATTACCATTTTTTTTCTTATTAAGCTAGATTGTTATTGTTCACAGGCTGAATGTAAGTAAAGCGCGGGTTGTATCCTTCAGTTATCAACCTAAGTTGTGTGCATTCTACTAAACATTTTGAATTTACCATAGTATAAGGTTCCCAAAGTGATCGTTGTACTGCTCAAGTGGCCAAATATTTAGACCACCAGAGCCTTTGGTGTATATTGTTTTGATTTTTGTAATTGTTCTGCATAACCTACTGCAGAGCATACAAAAAGTGTATTTTGATCTCCGAACTTGACAATTGCTTTTGAAAATTCTCTTTTCGTGTTTAATTGTCCAAATATATTAACCTGTAGAATTTCACATCCCGACGCAGAGCGCGGGCAATCATATGTTTAGGTTTCTCCCATGTATGCACAAAAAGGTTTTACAGTCTTATAAAAATAATTCCATGGGTTTCTATTTTTCATTTCCATTTCAATCATAACACCAAATTTATTAGTCCTCAAAGCAACATCCCGTTCCTGTATGTTTTATATATGCAACCTTGCATAATGTTGGAGTTCAAATGATGGCGTTTCTTTCTCTTATAATATTGAGATCAATTTGGTTATACATGTGTTCTCGATGACAAAGTTGGAAGATAATATATGGTTATGTTTTGTCATTGGTTCTTAATTATATTTAAAAGATGCACCACTTTCTATTTTTAAAAACTTGTAGGTTGTCAATCATACAATACATTGATTTGTTTACCATCTATAATAAAGATTGGTCAAATAAGTAAACTCATATTTTGCATCTCCCGACGCAGAGTGCAGGTTCAGCAACTAGTAAGAGTGTAAAGTAGGCTGGCCCGAGCTTTCAATAATTACTAGTGATAGGACCAATCAGCATCTGTAAGTTTCTGTACAGGGTTGTGGCAGATTATGGCCACTCGGTTAGGGATGATTTTGCCTCAATTATTTGCCCCGGGAACGAAGTAGATTTGTTTGTTCAGGAGCGCCAAATCGTGAATAACATCTTGGTGCCACATGAATTAATGCACTTCATTAAGAACAATTGATATAACGTGAAAAATTATGGTAGTAATGGTATACATGAAAAAGCTTATGACTGGGTTGAGTGACTATATTTGTTTGCTCTTCTTAATAGTAGGGGCATCTGAGCCACGCTCACCAGCGAAATTAGAAGTAGTTTTTGAAAGGCCGCTTATGTTATTGATTTTTTGAATTTTGTACAACAACCTTCTTAACATTGAAAATTAAAAAAAAAATCGAAAAATATAGTAATATATCCTACTTTACATTACTTATATACCATAGTACCATTCCCAGTAGTAGTAGGTTAATACCTTTATCTAAAGAAGATCTCATTAATCTCAACAATAGTTTTCACGCCGGGACAAATAACTAATCACAACCTTTTGCACACAAACGAGCTATTTGGTACCAAATAACTCAAAATGATGAGTTAGTTGGTACCAAATAACTCATAACAATAACTGGTCCAAATGACCTCTAAGCAAAATGACGTTGTTGTAGTGAATTTGAATAGTAAATATAATTAATTTTATGAATTTAAAAGTTAAATATTGATGTTATTTATTGGATTCGAGTTTATGCATTTAGGTATTAACATTTTATGTTGTATTTATGTTGATCTCAACCTTTCAATCTTGGGTTAATAGTATTTTGTACACATCTACTATGATAAATTAACAAACGTCCCTCTCTATTAAATTTTTGCACAAACATATCCTTTTAATATTAAAACGTAACTAGTTTACCATTTTATCTAATTATTTGTTAAGTGGATGTTAAAAGGGCTGGAAAATGACCCAATTGCTCAATCGTCAATTCACTGAGAAGCATTCAAATATGAACCTTACTATTTTAATTTCCAAACTCTGTTATAAAAAAAAAAAAGCACCCACTTCATTCAACCATAAGGGCATTAAGTCAACTTCCTTCTCTCAAAACAAAGCCTGACCTAAACCCTTAGGATGAATTAGTGTTATGCACTGAACTGAAAACTAAACCTCTCTTCTGAATTAATGTTGTAAATAAATAAGTAAGTATCATTTACTCCTAATTTCAGTTTTAATTATTTACTTATGTCCCAAATCAATCAATTAAAGAAATCAAATCCCTAAATTAATTCAATAGAATCGTCCGTAGGGATGGCAAAAATATTCGCAACCGTGGATATCCGCCCGAATCCGACATAATCGGGTAGGGTAAAACCCGAACCCGAATGACTTTTAGTGGGTACAGGTAAAACCTGAACCCGAATATTGCGGGTAATTGGTGGACATGGTTTTCTCACTATCCAACCCGAACCCGCCCGATTATACACATGCATATGTATTTTGTCTAGAAATAATCAATATTTGTTGTCTAACATATTTTATGTTTACCATATAAATATAATATATTTTGGAATTGTGTTGTTTAATTAATTTTGTTCATTCTAGTGAATAATTGTCGTACTTTTCGTCTTACGTAACGTGAGAATAAGTGTGAATATTAATATATTGGTTGAAGTTATAAAGAGAAACCATTACCCATGGATAACCGTGGATACCCGAAACCCGAACGGGTATGAGCACGGTTTGGATTTTCTACTCGTTTCTTATGTGGGTATGAGTATGGGTAAAACCCGAACTATTTTAGGTAGGGTAACGGATATGCACTATCCGTCCCCGACCCGACCCATTGCCATCCTTAATCGTCCGTCTCCCCGAAGTCTACCCTGGCGATCAGTCATGTGACTCAACGGCGCCGCCTATAGAATTGATTCCTGAAGGGGAAGCCGTCAGCCGTCGGGTAATAACCAGGTGGAACATTTGTAAGCGCTCGCATAAGAAATTGACTAGAAGGACTAGATCTATGAACAGAGCGTAGAGGAAAGCAGAGGAAAGGCCCAACATTTTGTTCCCCGACCCATTTACGTGCAACATAAACACTATGAATCTGCAATCGGATTCCGTTGCGTTGGTAGTTGAATTTCTTATGAGTACTTTCAAAGTTCTGTTGAAGGATTAAAAAAAGGCTCGCAGACTTTGTGGGTTAGGGAATGGAGATTTATTTATGGTATGAGGTCTTTCTGGGTTCTATTGATGCACGATTGATATTGTGGGGGCATGGGAGAGTTCTTGTGAATCGGGGGGAAGAATTACTAGGCGAGATTGGAGAATGGGGTTGGGATGATGATGGAGGAATTGGCGAATGGCCGTGGTCGGACGTTAGAGATCCGGTAACCGTCGACGAGCACCGAGTCGCATGACTGATCGCACTTCGTGGAGACGAACAGTTCTTCTCAATTAGATTAGAGATTTGATTTTTTAATTAATTAATTTGAGACATAAATAAAATAATTAAAATTGAAATTAGGAGTAAGTGAAGAAAAATTGGGTCATTTCACAGCCTTTTTAACGACCACTTAACAGATAAATACACGGAAGGGTAATGACTCGTCCCGAGTATCTTAATTAATTCTCACCTAAGGTCCAAGTATAAACCATAGTAGGGTGCAATACAGGGCAAGTATGTTTAAATATCGACTCGGGCCGGTCCGTGTACCCGTACTTCAATTGTTTGAAACATTATGTAACGAATCGGTTTTGGTTGAAAAGTTTGCTAATTAAAGTAAAGCAAGGCAAAAGTAAATGGTTTTTAAAGCTCTATGTGAGAAGGATCACTCGGGTGTCGCTTCCCCCTAACTACTACCACGACACGAGAAATTGAATTAATTGTTACGGACAAGGTGCCGCGAACCGCTAGGAAATGCAACTATGGTCGTAGACCACACTCTCGTTTGCCAAACCAAGGGATACATTATAGGCTACTCAAGTAGCCCTCTTGGTTAAGGCAATCGATGGTTGAATTACTCTCTCCCTCAACCCAATGGTTGGTCGGCTTAATAGCGCTTAACCAAATTGCTTAATGCAACATAGAGGTTTGTCCTACATTAACCTAGATAGGTGGCTTAAAAAGCCCAAGTAATCCCAACTTAATTGAGCCTCCCTTGAAAGGGGGTTTTCCCACTAATCTAGGTTAGAATGGCCAATTGGATTGCTAAGGACAAACATGCACAATCAACATGAAAAATACCACAATCATTGAATTAAACAACACCCATAAATAATCATTCAATTCACACAACAACTACATGGAAAATGGTTGGAGTTTCACAACACACAAGTGAAAAAGGAAACTACTACATTCTAGAAAGGGGAAGAACACAAGAGGAAGAGGTAGAAACCATCATGGTGATGCCTCCAATCTCCTTTGAGCTTGTGTTGATCTTCTATTGGGGAGAATCCTCCCAATCCACCACTTGGAGCAAACCCTAGCCTTCTTTCTTACTTGGTTCATTCTTTCTCTAAAATATGAAGAAGAAGACACTTTCTCACTCTTGGGCTCCCCCCCTTCTATCTTCCTTTCAGCTCACATTATATACCAGGATCGGGCTCAGTTCACGTCCTCAGTTCAC